CTGGCAAGCATGTCCCAAGCATGTTCTATGGGATTCATGTCTGGCGATAGTGCGGGCCAGTCCAAACGATTGATTCCTTGCGTTTCCAGATACTCATTTACAGCTCTGGTACGGTGGGGTCGGGCGTTATCGTCCATAAAAACGAAAGCATCACCAACTGCTCCTCGCCATAGTCTGACGTAAGGATCTAGAATCTCTCTCATGTATCTGTCTCCAGTCATTGTGCCCTGAACATAAATTAATTCTGTGCGACCATTAGACATGATAGCAGCCCAGAACATAGCACTTCCTCCTGCAAAGGGTGGCACGGGGCGTGCATAAGCAAGCTGGGCAGCTCTTGTTGGCTCTCTCCATACACGTATGCGACGACTATCCTGCACCAAACAAATTCTTGTTTCGTCAGAAAAAAACACCGAGTTCCAAAATTCTGCAGGTAAAGCCACGTGCTCTTGAGCCCAATGTAGCCGACGAACTTTGTGCTCTGGTTGCAGTCGAGGTACTCTAAGTGGTCGACGACACCTTAAACCTGTCGCGAGTATTCGTCTCCGCAATGTAGAGACCGATATTTGAACTCCCAAGCCATGACGCATATCTCTTTGGAGTGCTGGTATTGCCATGGTCGGGTTTCTTCGGATGGTTAAGTGAATATAACGGTTCTGTTGTTGATTAGTGACACGTCTTCTACCGCTTCTGGGTCTATCACGAAGAGAATTATTCTGGAGATAGCGATTCAAGGTGCGAGACACATCACTTTGACAAACACCAACTCTATTAGCTACGAACCTTTGAGAATGACCTTCTTCAATTAAAGCCACTATTCTTGCACGATCAATCTCACTTATGTTTTGTCGAGGCATCTTTGCGCGTGAATTCGTAAAATTCAACTGTCTTGACTCTAGAACTAGTCGCACCAAAAATGTGAACTTACAAAAAAAATTGTAAACATTTTTTTCGGGCAACAAATATGCGACTATTTAGGAAGATAAACATTGATAAACAAACCTAAAAAAAATTACTGCCGCTAAAATTTTTTTTCGTTTAAATACAAGGTGATGCAAAACTTTTGAATCTATGTGTATATAAAACTACCACTTGAACTCAGGCGTGCTTTTGAGTTGCAAGTAAGACTTCCCTGTTCCTTTCATCATAACAGATCTCATTGGAGAACACATGTAGATGAACCTCCCTCCTCACAAAACAGATGTTATTTTTGTATAAGAGCTCTAACAAAATAGTGGAATGTTTTATTCATCTGACAGCAATGATTTGGCTCAGTTTCAATTTTATTGCTCTCGTCGCAGTGGTTCAAAATGTCCTCTATATACACGCACTATCAGACGTACGAAATATCAAGGCTCAACTGAAAACGGATTATGGATTATGGATTCCGCTTTACAACCGCCTTATAGACAACGATCGTACACCTACTTTCCGGACAGTACTTCCAAGATCTCAGAATAAATTCTACCAGTATAAATTGCAAGTAGAATTTCAAAATAAAAGTATTCTAGCAAGCAGGAAATGGAAAACTCTCGGTATTGGACTACAGCAAGAAACCCTCGCCAAAAGTGGAATCTTCTGCAGTAACCAGACTATGAACTCCACTACAACAGAAAATATTTTCGATTCGAGACCCGATGCCTATACTTACTTAATCTATATTTGTGTAATAACCATAACTGTAGTTTTTGGTATTTTATTTTCTAGAATGTTCTACCTTATTATAGGGAAAATCAATGTAATTAGGTTGAATAAATGAGATTTTATCGATACGTGTGTGTGTGTTTTTATTCAAAATATCGATTTTTTGGTACCTGAATAATATACGCCCCGAATGGTCGATAACTCCGGCTTGAAGATGACACCATGAGATATAAGGAGCTGCGGTCAAATTCCGGAAAAAAAACCGTCAAATATTTGGGGGTGGCCCGGGTCAAATCCCCGAAATTTGAGATCAAAGGCGCCGCCGATCTAGAGATTTTCCCACGGTATCGGTAAATTTCCCAGGCTCAGGTGCCCCCGCTCGGTTGACAGATAACGTCACTTGAGTTTAGTTGAAGTCAATGTTGAACTAGCCCAGAGTAGGTTAAACATTGATAGATGGCGTCACTTGGGTTAGACACTGACAGATGAACTAGTAGATGGATGCAACGGTGCGATGGTAAACGACCTTATTATCTCTACTGGAGTCAGTTCAGGCCCTTGTATGTTCTGTACTCAACCCTCTGTGAACCCATTACTGTTTCCATCAGAGCAAGAACAAACATCGAACAGAACAAGGGCTGAAACTCTATTTAATTATTGCTCTTTCCCTTCGAGGCTCAAATTTACTGGCTTCTATAGAGCGAATATATTGTCATAAATATATGAAAATAATCTCGTTGCTGCTTTTGTCTTGAATTAATAATCTTTGTGTGCGGAATTATCCCTATTAAAATTAATAGGCAAACTTTAACGTCCATTATTATTTATTGTTGGACCCATTATAAAAGTGTTTCCGAATAACCAGCGCAACGTAAATGGGAAATACAATCGTTTGAATACTGGCCGTATTTTTGTTATTATTCAAGTTTTTAGCGTCACGTCAGTGTTTTATGTTCGAAATTATTTCAATTGGGCCTGAAAATGATGTTTTGAATTGAAAGCTGCTAGAATGACAACGTTCTGATGCGAAATTACAGTTTCAGTTCACATAATGGAAGCTACTGTATTTTTACTATAGAGAGAATGTTTTTGCCTCTCTGTAATTTAATGTTATATTTTGCAGATTAACTAGGGATGCGAGTTTTCAAATAAAGGAATATTGACAAACATGGTGAAATGATTAGGATTTTTTTTAATGAAAGATTTTTATTTTTATTAAAACTGTTGTAATGTTCTTTAATTCTGGTACCAAAATTTCTACCTGTTTGTCCTATATATACTTTGGGACAATTTTTACAGGATAATTTATAAACTCCACATTCATCACATATTTTAGTTTTAGATTTATTATTTTTTAAGTGAAAGCCTATTGTATTGTTAGTTTTGAAAGCAACATTTATATCGTTTTTATTAAAATAAATCAGTGAATACATATATAGATTATTAATTTCCACCCAGTAGAAGCCAATTCAATACAAAGGATTTTTTTAATTGATTACTGGATCCCATAAAGCTACGAGTGGATGTTTGCGGTTTTCATCAAAATTAGTAACGAATATCAAAAGCGTGGCATCAAAAGATTGAATATAAACTGGCAAATTCGATGGAATAATAGAGACTGAAATAGTTTTAGTATGCGTTAAAAGGCTCAAATTTACTGGCTTGTATTGCAGGGCATAAATATATGAAAATATTCTCGTTGCTGCTTTTGTCTTGAATTAATAAACGGTGGACTTTGTGTGTGGAATTATCCCTATTAAAATGATTAGGGAAAATTTAGCGTCCATTATTATTTATTGTTGGACCCATTATAAAAGTGTTTCCGAATAACCAGCGCCACGTAAATGAAAAATACAATCGTTTGAATACGAAAACGAATTGGCCGTATTTTTGTTATTATTCGAGTTTTTAGCATCGCGTCAGTGTTTCAAGTTCGAAATTATTTCAATTTTGCTCTAAAAATGATGTTTTGAATTGAAAGCTGCTAAAATTATAATTTTTGAATGCGAAATTACAGTTTCAGTTCACCTAATGGAAGCTACTGTATTTTTACTATCCAGAGAATATTTTTGCAAAGTCAAAAAACATTTTCTGTAATTTTATATACAGACTAACTAGGGATGCGAATTTTCAAATAAACGAATATTGACAAACCTGGCAAAATGATTACGATTTTTTCAATTAATTACTGGATCCCATAAAGCTACGAGTTGATGTTTGCGGTTTTCATTAAAATTAGTAACGAATACCGAAACGAAAGATTCGATGAAATAATAGAGACTGAAATAGTTTTAGTATGCGATAAAAGAGCTACTCCATAATTTCAGTAATAAAACTCAACACGACATTGTATTATAATCCCATACAATTAGCTCTGCACCATTTATTATTTTATGAAACAAAGAAAAATGTTCTGTAAAGATCAACAGGGTTGCATGTTTCACTTCATGAAGGAATTGTAATTTTATATCGATTGAAAAGTATGAAATCTTTTATAGAGATAAAAATATTTGCGACACACAATAACCATTTTATAGTAGAAAATTTTAGACGCTGCCAATATCGAATAACCACACAAACTTCAAGCTGGACCAAACTTTAACTTTGAGCTCGATAAATTTCAGTTTTATTGGGAAACTTTTAATTGCTTTTAACACTGGACTGTATGTACATTCGGCTTCTTGATAAAAGTTAACTCCATATCAACAACCTATATAATATAGAAATTTAAATATATAGAAGTTAATTAATATTATTGGTAATTATACTTTCGTGTTTAATGAAGGGATATATGAGCTTATTATATTGTGTATTAGGGGAAAACAGAATTCAACTGATAAATTATAAACAAATAAATGCAATAAACATATTATTGATAAACTCCCACGGTTTTTGAATGTGGTTTATTTATGCACAGTAAAAAATATAATCAATTTGCAAAAATATCGGGTGAGCACGAAATTACTTAACAACATAAAATTCGATATCAATATTGAGTTCAAGAGATGTTAACAAGAAGTTACAGTCAAATGTTTTTTTTTTTTTTATGTTGAAATTCCAGTTTCTGAAATCTATAATCGATCAGTAATCTCGTGTTCTGTAAGCGGATACATATTTCCTTCAAGTGCAAATTGAATTCGCCCCCTTTTAATGGAATTATTGTGTACGTGGCCGAAACAAATATTTGGTTATGACATCAATGATCTTGTAGTGATGTTAAATCAATATACATAATTATTACTGGGTGGACTTTATAAGCACTCGATGTGTTAGTGACGTAAATGAACGCAAATATCGACCCCCTATGGAGTAACTTACAAAGGGGCATTTGCCAACACATAAAATTTTGTACTTACTCTGTAAACAATCAGCGTTCAGCAAATCTTTACATTTTTCGTGACACTTGACTCCGCACTCTGTACATCTGACTCCTTGTCTTGCGATGCCCCATAGAAGACCTTCGCACTCGTAGCAGTAAGTTGGAGAGGTTGCCGTCCAAGGTACGAAATTGTGGGGAGTTGTACAGCTGATTGGATAAATCAAGGCTTGCAGGGTCTTTTTGTAGACGTGCATTTTCTGTTTGGAAAAACAAAAGTTAAATCAAATCAAAAGTTGAATAAAGAGGTATAAAATTACAATATTGAGTTGTATTTTCCTAAGATAATAATTGCCGAACTCTTATCAGTATCATAAAATACCTCAACATAAAACAGTAAAGATTCAACACCGGTTCTAGCGCAAAATGGGTCATTTTCATATAATAAAATCTAGGGTCCATTCTGCACTTTTTTGTATCATTTTGGAAAGGGGGGGTAAAATTTACAGGAATAAGCCCCGCCCCCTTTGCCCGTGTCTTCCATCGATCGCACTAGCTGGTTAGTTGCCGCTGCTTCAGGGTTATTGACCGTACCTGGCCCAAAGCGGCTCATCGATCCCACACTCGTGACTTGGTTCCCCATACAAGGTACCTCGTACTAATGATGACGTAACTAATAATAAAATTGTAGTTTCGCCAGCGTGTCGCCATCCACGTCGTCGTCGATGTCAGTCACTCAAAATAATTTCTGTATTAAAAAAAGTCTGCTGTTTTCGAGGATCGAACCTGGGACCGCTATGTGAAAGTCAAGTGCGCCAAGCTATATGCATTTCAGATATTATTGGCGTAGCATCATCCTTGGAAATTTGGCAGGTTGACCCTCGTATAATAACGACATAGTGACATAGAAGACCCTAACGATCAACCAAATAACCTAAATATTTTAATTATGGTTGGGAGAAATTATATTTTTCAATGGAAACGCCGAGATCAGCCTCGCGTAGTCTATCAAGGACAATCCCTAAGAGTTTAAGATGATCCGAAAAGGAGTTGGAAAGGATTACGATATGATCCAGATATACCATAATATTCGGCTTGAGTTCAGGGCCTAAAATAGTGTCAACTATACGTTGCCAGGTTGCAGGGGTATTAGATAAACCAAAAGGCATCCAACTAAACTGGAATAAACCTCTTTCAGGAACTCACGAGAATTTTCGGCTAAAGGGACTTGCCAGAAAGCTGATTTAATATCAATCGAGCTGATGTATCGAGTGCTACGTAAATTGTCCAAAATTGAAGATATGTAGGGAATTGGATAGGCATCTTTTTTCGTTTGAAGATTGAGTTTGCGAAAATCAATGCAGAATCTGAACTTTCCATCCTTTTTCCTAACTAAGCACACAGGGCTTGACCAAGAGCTATTAGATCGCTCAATGACACCAAGTCGCAACATTTCCTCAACTTCATCATCTATAATTTGTTGTTTATATGGGGAAACGGGGTAGTAGTAGTTGTTTGGTCTTGTACCAGGCTCAAGAATGATCTCATGTTCGGTGACTTTACAGTAACCCAAGCCAGAATCTATTTGAGAAATCTTGTCCTTGACCAAGGCGTCTAAAGCTTGTCGCTCAGGATTCAAGTGTTCGATAGCTTGAACGTTACAAACTTATGCCAATTCTTGGACTTCGGAAAAATGCCAAACACTTTGACTCATATCAGGGATGATTTCCATTGATTTCCAAAAATCTATACACAATATCAGCTTGGGGGAAACTTCAAGAAGTACTAAAACATCAATAATGTTTTGTCAATTAAAGTTATGGGAACCTGAATATAACCAATGGTATCAAATACTTGCCCATTAGCTACAGTACAAGGATTATGTTGTTTAATGAGCTTAAACACAAGGCTTAAAAGAACTTCGTAACCAGGTAATTCGACAAGAGTTCTACTAGCACCAACAATCCAAGCAAGGAAAATCCCATAATTTGAACTTTAAGGTAAGGACGTTGGGCGCCAATTAATTTGCCACGTTTTTTCGCTGATTAAAATAGTTTAGAAATAAAAAAAAAATAGAAATAAAAATAGGAATGAAAAAAATAAAATAAAAATGAAAAAAATTAAAATAAAATTTAATGAAGAACTTGAAATTGAAGGACTGAAGGTCGAAGTGCGTGCAAATTATGCCCTAGCCCAGAATTAAACAATTCGGAGGGTAGGGGTGGGTTTTATTTTGGGCGCCACTGACTCTGGACAGATGAGTCGGACTCTCCAGGATGTTATCTGGCTCCAGGTCCTTACAGTTTAGACATAAAAAAATAATAATAATAATATTCAAGATAAGATAAAACCAGGCTGTGTGCATAAAACCAAATAAAAGTCAATATAGTTCAAGTGCTATAGTCTATTTATTTACCAATTGTGACTGTAGCTACAGTCCACAATGAACAATATATAATATGAATTGAGACGATGTTATATTAAAAAAAGAAATAAACAAGTAAATTTGCAATATTACCAAAGAGTGGAAAACTATCTACTATTTAAGAAAAAGTACAAGCACTGAACTGTCATTAATTTAATTAATAAAATGACCTTATAATGAAGTGCCAACTAACAAATACAGAAATGCTATACTATTGAAGTAGTTGCTATAGTCCTAAACAATTAAATTTAAATGTGAAAATGTTATTGAAACTCAATAACCAAATGAATAATAAAAAAAATGTAAAAGTTGAAAATATAAGGTGAAGAGAAATAAAGAAAAAAAAGTTTAAATGAATAATTAGTTGGCGTTCTGTTGTAAACAGAACTACGAGTGAGTTGGCATAAATAAGCAACCACCTGAACCAGATCATGTCTAGCTAAATTACCCTTAGTAATAACTGTCGTCTTGTTTCTCTTGTCACCTTGATGCAAGTATTGAATGACTCCCTGAAATACCTTAGTGATCACTTTGGCGTACAAAATAGGGACAAAAAGGTAAATTAACAATAAAATAAAGATAGTATAACTAAAGCTAGTACGATACCAAAATGTTCCAGGCGGTAGCAGTAGGTACAAATAACCAGATTAGTCCAGCTACTGGTTGTGGTTAGATGGTCAAACCAATCTTACGGTTCAAATTTACGGTCCGGAAGGCTTGTATAACCGTCAAAATAGAAGACGTAGGCTCTAGTAACAGCAGCCTATCTCGGTTACGATTATACGTGTATTGTTGTGTACAATGTAACCGTGAGTAAAAACCCTGTTGGAAATAGGGTTTTGTTTGCCTCGAAAATACTCTGGAAGTCTGGATTGGATATCCTGGAGTGAGTGAGATGATCATTACTCTTTAGGGCAGCTTTTCACGAAATGGTTGTTTTCAAATCCGATAACATCGGCGAAAATTATTGCACTTTACGAAAATTAAACACAACGTAAGAAAACTCAATGTGCTATAAATTCAATTAATGAGAAAATTAGGTCCAAAATCCCTTTTTAGGGCGATGAAAAAAATTAAATTCTTCAAGAGACCTTATCTCTAAAGCAACCAAAACGTGAAAGAGAGATTTCGATTTTCCACGAATCCTTAAATATCTGTCCTAGATTTGAAGGATGGACAAATGGCAGAATAATGACATACGTCAAAAATTAATGGATACTATCGATTCGATAGTATTCACGCACCAAAAATTTCACACAACATAATCAGAGAGATATTGCAACAGCCGAAGAATAATGATAATAGCAACAAGGAATTATCCAATAGAACAAACATAATTTGAAGAATAGGACATGGAGTAACCAATGATTGAACCGGGTGCAGAACTAAAACTGACTGCACTGAGGTCAATGGCCGAACAGAGTAGTTCGGTACATACACTTTGAAAACGGCTTATATTATAATTTGGAAAAATAACCCCAAAAATAATGGATTTATTTACATGCAAATTGAATTTTAAATTGGAATTAAAATATTGATTGAAATCAATGAAAACAGAATTTAAATATTGAAAATTAGAAAATTTACAGGATCTGCGACTGCTGTAGGTAATTATTGTTGGAATTTTATAGAGAAAAAAATGTTAACAAATTCAAAGGAATTTTGAATAGAAAACTGAAAATAGGTAAGAATTAGTTAGGCAATTTTGTCTTGTTACAATTTTTTAAATTTCCGGGTTATGAAACCGAAAGCCGAGTTGCCAGAATATGTAAAATATCTGAGTAGATTCAGTTCCAAAATATTTTTTCAAATTGACTTGTCTCGTAATACCTGAATCGACGCACGCAGCCTGTAGCATGCAGGTGAAAAAGTGAAGTTTGTTACGGACTTGCGTTATATTTCTGTTATTTCTATTCAGGGGCGAACTCAGAAGTAATCGTTCCGTCTTTCTTTGCAACGTGTAATTCGACAAAGAGCGAGCTAATAATATAGTGAAATTATTAAAATAATAGTTGCTGGTCATCAATAACGACGAAATTATTACCAATTGTAGTTCGTAAGAAATTTAAATTCGTTTTAAACTCACAGCGCATTTTCTCTCTTGTTTAACCCTATAGTTAAAGAGATAGAATGCTGTCGGATCATATAACCGAATCTGTCGATAAAATGGGATTTACGTTGGCACTTGGGGGTAATGTTGTCAAATTTTTCCTTCTGCAAATCTTCGGCTATTCAATTTAATAATTTGAGGATTGTTGTCAGTTTTTAACAAGTTGGGGATTGATAGGGCTATAACTTAAGTATACTTGCTATAAATTGTATTAATGGAATTTCGTTTGTTTGGTAGGTATAAGTGATTCTTATCATTTTATTAATAAAAATGTAGCCTGGAAAAATGACAAACTTTACCAGTCAAAGTAAAACGAAGTTGATGCTAACGTCATAAATTTTGATTGATGATTACAAGTCGGAAAAAACGAAGACAACAGATATTGAGATGAAAATATAACTAAAAAGCGATGAACAAATTTACCAAAGACCAAGACGACTATCAGTACCTGAAAAAGAAGTGGATAGACAGATCCAAGAATGGCTTAAGGACGGCATTATCAAAACAAGCTGTTCGGATTTTGCAAGCCCAATTGTTTTGGTGGGAAAAAAGGATGGCCGAACAAGAATTTATTGTGATTATCGCAAATTAAATAAAAATTTCATTAAAGATAGGTTTCCACTACCGCGTGTTGAAGACGTACTTAACAGTTTACAAGGTACGAAAATAGATTTGAAGAATGGGTTCTTCCATGTCCCTGTTGAAACTAGCAGTACTAAATATAC